CAAACACTGCTTTAAGAACAAGGAGTTATAATTATGTAAGATTTAAACACTGTTTGCTCTGACAGTACTTGTGGTGTGTTATCCAGTTCAAACTGCTCACAGTGAGTAAAAGAGAGAGGATTTAAACAACGTAACCAGTTCCACATTTAGCCAGCACTCAGTTCAACCAGCACATATGCAGTTATTATCAGCTTAAAAGTAAATCTTCGGTTTCCTTATTTAAACACTTAAGTTTTAATGTCCATCAGAAAGGCTGCAATGAATAATTTAATCATTTCTGTCCACTTCACGCTGCTACACAGTGAGCATTTCTGCAGAACTGTGAAAGGCACTGGGCAAGTGTCAGCCCTCCTTGTAATTCTGCGACCTCCGCGCACAAACACTGCGGCCAACTCGGGAGCTCGGAGGGAGGGGAGAGAGGTGAAGAGATCACAGCAGAACTGCACCAGAACAGCGGGACACTTTAGAGAGATGAAAGGTCAGCGCGGGCTTGGCGCTGTTGCGCTGTCATTTCCTCTGTTTGTCCCTTGGTGGAGTTCTTGAGTTAGCTTCTCCCTTCAGCCAAACGGTTTAAACTGCTTTCTGTGGGGTTTTTGTCGTTGTTTTTCTCCCGCGTTCGAATTTGCTGTCATGTTTACTGTATTTAACCTTTTCCTCACATTATTATGAATATGTTATTTCCTAGCTCACCTGTTTTTTTTTCCCTCTTCTTTGATGCGCATACATGTGTGCGCACAAACTAATAATAATATGCATTGATTAATGTACAAAGCTATGTAGATGATTAAATAACCCGTCTCTTGAGGTTGGCTCCTACTGCAGAGCACAGAGGTAAAGCTCTGGTCGGATGCACCGACATTCCCGACCTGATGAACCGAACCGTCCCAGGCTGAGGGCGGAGGGAGCAGGGCTCGCCGGGACACAGCCGAACAAACGCTAATGGCATCTGCATATCTCAGCCGTGAGTCCGTCTTTCCAATCACTGTCACAATAGGAAAGCCCCATTGCAGAGCTTCGGAAAGCTGCGTTGGGGAGTGCAGAGGAGCCGGGGAAGCTCCCAGCCTGCTTTAGGATTCCCCCACGTACAGCAGGCTGCGAATGTCAGCAAGACGGATTCCTTCCCACACGCACGATGCCACCTCCGTGGCCTTATCAGATGTTCCCTTTAAGGACACAAGCTCTTATTTCTCCTCTGTATATCTCCGGTATCTCGGGCTATTTTATTTATTACAGCCGATTACGCTGGCGATCCCGCTTCCCACTTGTTCTCACCAGATCAGGAGGACAAACGTCTGAGCGCGTGTGGGCGACTGTGTGCATCGGGTGGGCGGGGGGGGCTAGGGGGGGTTGCGCTGCGCAACAGCTTTGCCCGGGGGACTGGGGGGGGGGGGGGGGGGGGGGGGCGGGGGGGGGGGGGGGGGGGGGGGGGGGGGGGGGGGAGAAGAGCCCTCCCCCTCCCGCAGCCGCTGGGACTAACGCTCCGCGGGGCCGGGGGGTGGCTGGGCTTCCCTTCCCCCCCACCTCTCCAGCACGAAACGAAGTAGCGGGATGCGGAGGGGGGCCAAGCCCTAGCCCCCTCCCGGCAGCCGGGACACGTGGAGCGGGAGCGGCGCTGCCATCCACCATGCAGCGCACGTCGGGCCCATTTCCCACGCCGTTTGCCTGCCCTGGGGGAAGAAAAGGAGGAGGGGGAGGAAGGGGGAATGATGGAGAAGGGGGGGAGTGGAGGGGGAGGGGGGCCGTTACCTCTGCTCCGAAAGAGGAACCAATCCACTGTGAAGGACGAAGCACTCCCGAGCAGGAAAGACATTGCACATTCAGAGAGAGATTGCATGTGAAGACACTGCAAAGGAGAGAGAAGGGGAGGGGGGCCGGGGCAACCCGAATGTGAAAGGCGCAGTGTGTGTACGGAGGCCGGGAACGGGGCGGGGGGCAAGCAGGGGGAGGAGGGGGACACTACACATGGCAAGAGAAAGAGATCACTCATTCACTTGGAAAACGCTCTCGCCAAGCAAACCACGGTAGTAGACATGGGGGACAGCGGGGAAGAAGCCGCGGCCAAGAGGAGTCCGCGCCGTGCAACAGCCCCGAATCCGATTAAAGTTTATGGCGGGGAGGTTACAAGCTCTCCCACCCCGTCCTTCCTCGGGTGAACCCATTCAGTGTCCCGATCACATTATAAAGCACAAAGGGACGGGAGTAGTGGGATCTTCGGGTTGCGATTGTGTGGCTGGTGCGGGGAGCAGTGTGATGCAGTGTGCTGGCATTCCCTGCGTGCTGCTATGTAGGGATCTTACACTGTAAGCAACATTTCCTCCTCTCGGAGCTCCAGAACAGCGAGGGGGAATTTTGATAAATTCAAGTTGCTTGGCAAATATAATAGGGATTTGGTATTAATCCTACTTAACCCGCTGCGAAGATGCTGAGCTGCCGAGTCCCCCTCCTCCGGCCGGGACTGCGGCTGTGAACACTGAGCCTGCGCCGAGCCGCGCTTTCTCGCTGATGCTGCAGATATAAAGCCGAGAATCTCCGGCATTTGTGGGGGTGGGTTTGTGCGTCCTGGCGAGAGTGGCCGGGTCGGGCAGAAACCCCGCAGACCTCCGGAGCGGGAAGCGGTCCCTCCCGTCCCGGCTCCACGCAGTGTGGCTCTGCCCCTCGGGGTTCCCCGGGGAAAGAGGTGGCAACCTTCTCTCCCTCCCACGTTCACTCACCGCCCCGAATGACAAAGGCACTCTGCGAGCAGAGCTTTGAACCACCTCAATATCCGGCCACTTTCTCTCAAATGTCATCGCGGTGAATGAAAGACAATTCGCTATACTCGCCCTCATGTGTTGTTTTTTTGTTGTTGTTGTTTTGTTTTTGGTTTTTTGTTTGTTTGTTTGTTTTTTCTTTTATTCAGAATAACCGTGTAATGCCAGAAATCCTCACATACAGAACCCGCAACTTGTTTTCCCACATGAGCACGCGGGGGAGGGGGGAAGCAGCTGGAGTCGTGCCCTCGCTCGCTCACATGCCGGGCTGCTTCCCACTGGAGGCCTCGCATCGCCCTAGCTCCCCTATGCCCCCCGAGTTCCGAGGGGACAGTACAGCCGCAGGATTCACCCGGTGCATGGGGGCAGGGGCACGTAGATGCCATCAGCAATTAAATGGCACAAAGTCAAAAGGATAAGCGAAAAGGAGATGCAGGAATAAACAAAGTTGAATGGAGAGGTTCCACGTTAAAGTTTATTTCCCTCTCACCCTGGTAGGTGACGTTACATTTTAGCAATCATTGAAGCAGAAATTCTCTGTTTGAAAATAAATCTGGGACGACTTATACATGTGCTTGTTCTCCTGACCCTCCCAACCCCACCCCTGACTTTTTTTTCTTTCTTTCTTTTTTTTTTTTAATGCTTGGAAACCCACAAACACGCTGAAAAGGCACATTCAGATCATGGCAATCGGAAGTACATGAGCACAAAGCCCGAAAGGCTTCAACAGCAATGGGAAACAGGACGAAAGTCTGAGGTCAGGGGCAGCTCCCTCCTCTCCGGGGTTCTGAGCAGTTCCAGGGACTGCAGCTATGTCACAGCAGCACTGACACGAAAGGGGAGGTGGGAATCTGTGCGAAACGAGTTTTCTTACCAGCACGATTCCGCAAAACGCAGAGCCCAACGTGCAGCAGCTTTGCCTAAGAGAAAGGCGAATAAACATTTGCTTAAAAAATCGTTGCTCGGTTCACAGTCTACAGCGGAGGTGGGGAGGGAGTGAGTAGGATAGAATCGCTCCAGATGCCGGCTTGGAGCCGGCGGCAGCAGCAGCAAAGCTGGCTCTGAGGGCTGAGCTATCCCGCTCTCAGCGCAGCATAGAACAGCACAGCCGCGGCAGGCAGAGGGTAAGGCTGGGCTTGTGGAGCGCAGCGCTTGGCTCGTCCTCCTCCTCCCTCCTCCTCCTCCCTCCTCTCTCGCTCTCTCTCTCCCTCTCTCTGTGCATGTAGAGCAGGCGGCTGTGCTGCAGCGTCAGGGAAGAGCTGCCGAGAGAGACTCCAGCAGCTCCCACCACTTTGGGCAAACTTGCCGGTTTAACAGCTTTTTTTTTTTTTTTTTTTTTTTTTTTGCCTTCCGAGTGGGAAGCTCCTCCGTTGCCATTCAGCATTTTAAAGCACAAGCTGCTCTGCCGTGAAAGCTCCCGAGCCACACTGCTCTGAAAGGCACAGGAGGGAATACACAATCGCAGATTTCACCCGCCGTAGCGGCGCAGACCCCAGGAAACAACTGACTGGTTGCATTTTATTCGCAAATAGAACTCCGTGTGGTTTTTTAATCGCGTCGCGGCTCTCTTCCCCTCCCCTTTGCCATTCCACTTATATGGATGTAATTCAGAATCCGTGTTAATTCACGTGGGGGATCCAGTTACATCTTGTTCCGCTCCGGGTATGTTAACGAGAGACCAATAATCGCCTTTGGACACATAGTTTTGTCGCTAACCTTTGAACTGAAAGGATCGAGTTCAGCTCTGGTTACCTGCATTGGGACGGGAAGGAAGAGGCGAGAGAGAGAGAGGAGAGAGAGGGAGAGAGAGACTGCAATCTCATTTGTGAATCGCGCTCAGTGCTGCAGCTCCAGATTGCTATAACACATGCAGTGCAAATGCAGGTAAGGCACACACACAAACTGCGGATGCGAAAACAAACTTGGGACTGTGGTGTGTGTGTGCTCAGATCTACAGCCTTGCAAATTCCGGGCAAACGGCTTCTGCAGTTTCTGTCTCGTTGCTTTGTGACTAATGACCTTGCGCAGAGTTGGTAAAAAAAAATCCTCTCCGGAGAAAGAGCTGTACATTGTAGGCGATCTCTGAAGATGGATTTAGGTGCTTTTCTGCCAACCAAAGGGGATATTCCATGAACTGCTCTGTAATACACGGGGTGCTTCTGCTTCCCATTGTGCAGATACCGACATTACTGGGATTTTCTTTTTTTTTTTTTTTTTTCTTTATCTTTTTAAATTATTATTAATATTTTTAAAGAACTGTCCATGCTGAGAGGATCTGGAGTTCTCCCGGACACGAGCCCGTTGAATAAAGCAAATCACATTTTTTTTTCCTGTGTGTGCAGATAGGGGAGAGAATAAATCTAATGCGTTTGTCGTGAACGACTGAGAGGGCGAGAGAGAGAGAGAGAGAAGAGAGAGTGTGAATTGTAGTTAACTCCGGTGTCGAAGAAGACGACCTGGGGGGCTTCAGATCGCACGGTGCTGCTCCGGCTTTTATTGCAAACCTTGCAAAGTGATTACAGTAAAATCAGGAAGAGGAGGAGAAGGGGGAGGAGGAGGAAAATCCCATCCTATCTGCCGAGATGAATCTTTAAAAAGCAAAATACACTGTCCCGTGAACTGTAAGTATATCGCAGCTGGGAGGCAGGGCGAGCAGCGGAGGAGGCAGCAGCGGGGTTTTGCCTACCGATTGCACCAGCCATGAGGCGCTAAGTTTCCGGGAGCAGGATTCTATAATTGCTCGCTCGGCCGCTTTGTTGGCTCATCAGGGGAGTTTATCGGGGAGTGAGAGGAGGGGGGGGGGGGGGCCGAGGAAAAGAAGATGAGGAAAATGCGGACTCTTCTCGGCTTTGTGCACTGCTGCTGCTGCTGCTTCTTGCTCCTCCTGCCTCCGCCGCTCCGGGTCAGCCTGGCAGCGGCCAAGCAGCTTCTGAGGTACCGATTAGCCGAGGAGGGACCAGCCGACATCCGCATCGGCAACGTGGCCGCCGACCTGGGCATCGTGACGGGCTCCGGAGAGGTGACATTCAGCCTGGAATCAGGCTCTGACTACCTCAAGATCGATAACATGACCGGGGAGCTGAGCACCACGGAGCGGCGCATCGACCGCGAGAAGCTGCCGCAGTGCCAGATGATCTTCGATGAGAACGAGTGCTTCTTGGACTTCGAGGTGTCGGTCATCGGCCCCTCGCAGAGCTGGGTGGACCTCTTCGAGGGCCGGGTCATCATCCTGGACATCAATGACAACACCCCCACCTTCCCTTCCCCCGTCCTCACGCTCACCGTGGAGGAGAACCGGCCCGTGGGGACTCTCTACCTGCTCCCCACCGCCACCGACAGGGACTTCGGCCGCAACGGCATCGAGCGCTACGAGCTGCTGCAGGAACCCGGCGGAGACGTGGGACGGCGCGGCGGCGGAGGCGGCGGCGGCGGCGGCGGAGGCGGGGGGGGCGGTGCTGCGGCGGCCGGCTCGGAGAGCGCCCTCTACCCCGGCGGCAGCAAGCGGAGGCAGGAGGCGGAGGCCCGCAGCAGCGTGTTTGAGCTGCAGGTGGCCGACACCCTGGACGGGGAGAAGCAGCCGCAGCTGATCGTCAAGGGGGCGCTAGACCGTGAGCAGCGGGACTCCTACGAACTGAGCCTGCGCGTGCGCGACGGCGGCGAGCCGGCACGTTCCTCGCAGGCCATCCTGCGGGTGCTGATCACCGACGTGAACGACAACAGCCCCCGCTTCGAGAAGAGCGTCTACGAGGCCGACCTGGCGGAGAACAGCAGCCCCGGGACCCCTATCTTGCAGCTGCGAGCCACCGACCTGGACGTAGGGGTGAACGGGCAGATCGAGTACGTCTTTGGGGCAGCCACTGAGTCGGTGAGGCGGCTGCTGCGTCTAGATGAGACCTCAGGGTGGCTCAGCGTCCTGCATCGCATTGACCGTGAGGAGGTTAACCAGCTGCGCTTCACCGTGATGGCCCGGGACCGTGGGCAGCCCCCTAAGACGGACAAGGCCACGGTGGTGCTGAACATCCGTGATGAGAATGACAATGTGCCCACCATTGATATCCGAAAGATTGGGCGCATCCCACTGCGGGATGGAGTGGCCAGTGTGGCTGAGGACGTGCTGGTGGATACCCCCATTGCCCTGGTGCAGGTATCAGACCGGGACCAAGGTGAAAATGGTGTGGTGACCTGCACCGTGGTGGGTGATGTGCCCTTCCAGCTCAAGCCAGCCAGTGAGGGTGAAGGGGAGCCGCAGAACAAGCGCAAGTACTTCCTCCACACCTCAGCTCCTCTGGACTATGAGGCTGTGCGCGACTACAATGTGGTGATTGTAGCTGTGGACTCAGGCAGCCCCAGCTTATCCAGCAACAACTCCTTGCTGGTGCGGGTCGCAGACACTAATGACAACCCTCCCGTGTTTGGCCAGGCCGTGCTGGAGGTTTCTTTCCCAGAGAACAATCTGCCCGGTGAGAGGGTGGCCACAGTAGTGGCCACGGATGCAGACAGTGGCAAGAATGCCGAGCTCACCTACTCCTTGGAGCCCTCACCCCTCTCCTCAGAGTCACCAAGCGGCATCTTCAGCATTGACCCCGACTCTGGTGATGTGTCTGTGCAGGTGGTGCTGGACCGTGAACAGCGTGACACCTATGAGTTCCAAGTAACGGCCCGAGACAAGGGGGTGCCATCACTGCAGGGCTCCACCATGGTGGTGGTGCGTGTGGCAGATCGCAATGACAATGAGCCGCGCTTCATGCAGGATGTGTTCACTTTCTACGTGAAGGAGAACCTGCAGCCCAACAGCCCCGTGGGCATGGTGACTGTGATGGACTTTGACAAGGGACGCAATGCTGAGCTAAGCCTCTCCATACAGCCCAGTGAACATGACCAGGCAACTGGCATCTTCTCCATTGAAAATGACACGGGAACCATCTACTCCACAGTCTCATTTGATCGGGAGCAGCAGACCAGCTACACCTTCAAAGTGAAGGCAGTGGATGGGGGCGAGCCATCACGTTCGGCCACCGCTACTGTGTCCCTCTTTGTAATGGATGAGAATGACAATGCGCCCACTGTCACCTTCCCCAGCAACAGCTCCTACACTGTGTTGCCGCCCTCCAGCAACATGCGCACTGTAGTGGCTACGGTGGTTGCAACTGATGCTGACACCGGCCTCAATGCTGACCTCAACTACAGCATTGTCGGAGGAAACCCCTTCAAGCTCTTCGAGATTGATCCAGCCAGTGGCGTGGTATCACTGGTGGGCAAGCTGGCCCCCAAGCACTATGGCCTGCACCGCCTCGTTGTGCAAGTGAATGACAGTGGCCAGCCACCCCAGTCAACAACTGCCCTGCTCCATGTTTTCGTCAATGAGAGCTTGTCCAATGCCACCGTGGTGGAGGGCCAGGTGGCACGCAGCCTCCACACACCCCTGGCCCAGGACATTGCTGGAGATCCCAGCTACGAGCTGAGCAAGCAGCGCCTCAGCATTGTCATCGGTGTGGTGGCTGGCATCATGACTGTCATCCTCCTCATCCTGGTGGTGGTTATGGCCCGCTACTGCCGCTCCAAGGGCAAGCATGGCTACGAGGCTGGCAAGAAGGACCATGAGGACTTCTTCACCCCACAGCAGCACGACAAGGCCAAGAAGCCCAAGAAGGACAAGAAAGGCAAAAAGGGCAAGCAGCCCCTCTACAGCAGCATCGTCACTGTCGAGGCCTCCAAGCCCAATGGGCAGCGCTATGACAGCGTGAATGAGAAGCTCTCGGACAGCCCAGGCATGGGCCGCTACCGCTCAGTCAATGGTGGCCCGGGCAGCCCCGACCTAGCCCGGCATTACAAGTCGAGCTCACCACTGCCCACTGTGCAGCTGCACCCGCAGTCCCCCACTGCTGGCAAAAAGCACCAGGCCGTGCAGGACCTGCCCCCTGCCAACACCTTCGTGGGTGCTGGTGACAACATTTCCATCGGCTCGGACCACTGCTCCGAGTACAGCTGCCAGGCCGGCAGCAAGTACAGCAAGCAGGTAAGGGCAGCGCCCCGCGTCGGGCACGCACACATGCGAGCACACGGTCATGCACACACATTGCATGGTAGCAGTGTCTGGCACCATCAGATGCATCACCCCTTCAGTCCGGTGCCAGGAGCATACCTGGACACACACCAGGCAGGAAGGACGGTCAGGGATAGCTGTTTTTACTATTTCCGTTGTAAATCCCACTTTGCAGAGCCCACACCGGCTCTGTGGTACCGCCCCTGGGAGGTGCCGGGCACGGAGCCCCCCTCCCTCAGCGCAGCCGGGCTGGGGGCGGACCGTTAACTCAGGCGGCGAGCTGCGCGCAGCCCGGGATGACCTTTTGTCGGCTCCCGCAGCCCGTTATGTCCCGTTGTTGGGGAGGTGGGCAGAAGCACCGCCTGGGTTGTCCTGCGGAGCCCAGAAGTCTCACTCGGGTCTGAGCCCCAGGCAGGCGGGGAGCTCCGGCTGGGGACTGAAAGTTTCGCATTTAAGGGGGTCATTGAGAGTGGGTGTGCAACCGCCGCGCTGAAACGCTAATGGCTGTAATTATCAGCTCGTTCATTAGAATCGCGGCGCTTTCACAATCTAGAAAGCCTATTAATGGTCTGATATACATCACTGAGATTTTACCGATGTTCAGCAGTTGCTCTGAATACACATAAAGGTTAGTGAGCTTAGAATCGGATCTTAGCATGCTTCCGTTCCTCTTTTTTTCTTCCCCCATTTTTTTCTTCCCTTAATGCACATCACATGAAAATCATTAACTCAAAGCGAGGGGCCCTAATTTTCCAGTCCAGCTTCTGCGCGGCTCTGCTAGCAGACCGGCTGCTTTCCCCGAGAGCAATGTGAGTGCACTGAGCCTTCCTTTAGCAGCGCCCTCAGTGCCCGGCTCTGATCTCGGCTGTGCCATGCAGGTCGGTGCAGTGAGGCCCCAGCAGAGTAAAACTGGTAATGGCAGGAACTGCTTTATACAGCTGTAGAGGGCTAGCATAGTGGGGAAAGGAGACCTAAATGAAAGGTTTATTAATTTTATAAGACACATATGTAGCCTGAACAGAAATGGTTTTCTTTTTGGGCATACTTTTACGGATTGTGAAATGAGATGTTTAACGCTGGGTGATTCCTTTTGCATCCTTCCGTGTAAGATAATATTCGAAGTGCGTCCTCTCAGCTCCAGCGTACGTTACACAAGAATCTAGAGATAAATGAATGCTGATTCATGTGAATAGAGAGCCAAGCCTGAAACAGGAACACACTGATTAGTTTGACAAAAATGCTTTATTTCCACCTTATTAACATGCAAATATGGCACAGTATGACATTTTCTATACTTTGAAACGTCTGTTAGACTACTACAATTGAAGTTTTACACTGTGTAACCAGTACTTGTATTCTGCGCGGGGCAAAAAAAAAAAAAAAAAAAAAAAAAAAAAAAAAAAAAAAAAAAGATTTATAATATTGTAAAAAGAAATGAAGTCACACCATCTTCCAGATCAACAATAATGTGTGGCTGATGTATTTTCTGCCAATATTTCCGTGTATGTCACACAGATGTTTTATAGAACATTTGATGTGGTAATTTCTGGGTGATACATTTCATTACCTCTGGAGATAACGTTATAATTTCAGTTTTAAAATACAGTCTTTGTAAAATACAAAGTACTGAAAAAGTTCCTGAGCTTCCATCTAGTAAGACTTTATTAAGTGCAAAGTAGATTGTGCCTTTTTAGTGAGTACTGGACCAGTGAAGTAGAAGTGAAACAAATGTTAATCAGATGCTACTTCTGTCTTGCTGCTGCAATTCATCTAAACATGAATTAAGAACTGTCAGAAGTGTAATTTATTTTCAATGTAAAAGAATGACTTGCATGTTATATTTGCCAGTGGTAAAGGATTGCAGCTTACTATTTTGCTTGATTAGTAACTTTATCTGAAGTTATGTTACAAAAATACTCTTTGGTTTACTTAACATTTCGCAAGGATATATTTTTGATACATAGTATTTCTTCTTTGTAGAAGAAAATGGCTTTATTACACTTCCACTTGCAGCGGTCAAACTGAAAGAATGTATTCTGAGTTGCTCTGTTATTTACTTCGCTTTATACAGAGCTAATTTCCCAGTGTTTGTGAGGTTTCCTAGGCTAAATGTGTAGCTTGTGAAAGTGAGTTTACCTGAATAGTTTATAGCAGACGGTCTAATGCCTTGTCTTTGAATTTTTAAAAGTGTGGAAAGTACTTGTATGCTTGCAAAGGGTGCTTCTTAGTTAAGGAAGGTTTCCAAATAAGAATTTATAGCAGAGAACCTCTGCATAAAACTTCTGCTAATGGTTTCTTATGAGTACTTACCAGCTTGATACTGAGTGATGTTTATGTAGTTTTGTTCTTGTTTTTGCACACATTAAGAGATATTTGCATTAATAACGTGTTGTAGATCTTTCACTTCTCAAACATTGATAATGGAGCATTTTATCTGTTTATCAGAAAAAAAAAGCACACCGGCATTTTTAACACTCAAACCAGGTGAAATACTTGTTTGGCATGTTCTTGAGAGAGTGATGTGAGGCAATTGCAGGTAAATGTGTATGATGTGGTGTATATTGGAGTGTTTCATGATTCAGCTGTCCATATGAAATAGAGCCAATGGCATAGTAATGTGACCACGATAGGGAGATTAGGTGAAATGCCTCTGATTGCCTTTATTTAATTATTGACAGTTCCCTTTGTTCTAAAGAGATTTTAGAGGATGTATAGAGTTTTAAAATAAATAAATGGACGTTGCTGGATGTATCTGTTCTAAGTTATTAGAGATGAGAGCAATGCTCATTTTCCATTAATGTAGTTAGAACAGGTAATTGATACTTCCACATATTCACAGTATCACTGTCAGGAAAGTAAATCTCTACTTAGGTGACTGATTGGTGTTCCCCAGTGAATATAAGCTGTTTTCATTCTTATCATTTGACACTTCCTTTTTAAGGTAGCGTGTTACATATCTTACATGTTTTCCCAAATACATCTTGTTTCATAAAATGCATTATAGTAGAACTTAATGGGAGAAAGCTAAAAACAATTTGTCACTCCCTTCCTTTAAGTATTTTATATGAAGATTAAAGTCAAATTTTGCATTTGATAGACTTTCTTCTGTTTCTTTTCTGGAAGATGTTCTAGATGTTTTCTAGAAGGTTTCCAAATGCAAGTTTTTTTTACCCTTGTCCTTTTCTGCATAGTATTATTCTCTGAAATTTTCTTTTAGCCTTCCACTTTGCTATTTTGCCCTATTCTGTAAAGATCTTACACATCTGGCAAGCTAATGTTTAAATCCCTTAACATTCCGTCAATCTTAATCATTTGCCCAAAGTTAAACCTGTACAGAAGTATTCTGCTGTATCAGGATGCATCTAAAGAAATGCTTTTCTAGATTGTAGATGTAAAATTTGAATCCTCCTGGTGCTGAACACTGCCAGTCAGTGCCCAGGGTACTGTCAACTTCTAACAAAGACAGCAAAGAAATCCCAGTGCATAGCAGCAATCATTTAGTGATTTGGAGGATTGCATCGTTAAATACAATTCTAAATCTTACTTTACTGTTGTAAACAATTGTGTATTTCCTCAAATTAGTTACAAGTATATATATTTTTAGCACATACTGTTTTCTGCGCTTTCATTGACATCAAACTAATAGCAGGTGAGTGGGTTTATTTCACTGAAATTTCTCATAGTAACTATGAGATTAGCATGTTAATGACTCCTTTTTGAAGAATAGGCCTTTTAAAGCCTGTTTATATGTTTATTTATTTTTTATGTTCATCATTTTCTCTTAAATTCTCTTATTTGCTCCACTCAACAAACAATGTTTTTTGATTACTTGAAAGACTGTGCCTTTTACTTTATGCATTTTTACCTAAGAGCTGCAGGTCGCCATCTTCAACTAGAAGAACCAGTACAGGGATTTCTGAGCAGCATTATTACTTTTCTTGGAGTATATTCTTTTCTGGCCAGTTCTTTATGAATTGCTTCTATGTCTTTCCTCGTTTGAAATGTGCTATTGAGTGAAGAGAAACATTTAGGACATCGGAGTGTGCTGACACACTAATCAAGGCTGAATATGTATCCTGATGTTACAAAAGCAACCTGGGATGTTCCATGACTAGGAAGGAAATGGAACTTGAGGTAAATTTACAAACATTTCACCAAAATTTAATTTCCAAGAAGGTAAAATATATAAAAATAAAATTTTGAAGAACTTTTTTTGTAAAGTAGTTAAATAATCTGTTTAATAATCTTCCAAATGTTATCCAGTCTGTTGCACTGCAGGTGCGTTTTGGCTACTTGATTATTAGGCAGTTGAATTGTATCTATTCATATAAATTGGTCAGTTTCCTTATAAGCATGCATATGTAGCAAGAGCCTTAATGGGAACCAAAATTCATATATTAAGGGATCAGTCTGCTTAACAGTGCAGGAAAGCATGTTTTTTAATGTACAGACAGACACATGCATGCATAGACTTAGATCAAAGACTGCCATTTAAAATCACGTAGCGGCTTTCAGTAGTAAAGTTTTTCAATAACTTTCACCTTAATAAACATTCTACAGTGTAATAGAAACACTAGGTAATGTGCAGAAAAAAATTAAGAACTTGTTCTTTAAATATAAACGCTTGCATTGGTAGCTTTTTAAAGATATTTAACTTTAAAACTGTTCAGAGCAAGGTGGCCAGAAATGTATTTCAGTTTTCTATTCTCAGTTTGCATTATATTAAATATTTTACAATTAGTTTTTTAAAGTGATCCACATTTGACCTTCAGTAACAAATTATGATGAAAGAGGGGCTAATTAAACATGAAATAGATAGATTGTTGATGCTTTCATTATCTTTATTTAACACAAAGTGTTCTGCTGATAAGTACAGTCTTTATTTTTTTCCCTCTTTAGTAAAATAATCTTGTAGAGTGTGCAAATGACTAAGTTACCACTGAATCATTCTGCACTCCCAGGAGATGTGCAGAGCCAAAAGGGACAGGATCTGTGTAAAGGAGGATTCATGCTTTGAATAAGTAACGAACTGCACTATTATAGACAGGGGGAAGAAAGAAACATTTTTAAAAAGATAGAATCTGATTGATCAACTCCCACAGTTCTCTGGCATCGTACATGCAGATATGAATGTGGGTTAAACCCATGGACCTAGGGTTGGACCTGCACTTTGTCAGTCTTTGTACTGTAGCAGTTTACGTGTGTATCTTTATTTTTATATGTACACTGTTTGCCTTGTTTCTGATTATTTGGGGGTATTTGCTGGTTTGACAAACTAGCTGTGTTTCAGAAAAATACCTGCCCTGAAGCTTCAGGCACATTTTCCTTTAAGGTATTTCTGTCAAAGATTTGGAATTTTTACGTAGTTAGATGTTGGGCTACTTTGAAGTGTAAAACTTGCCTAATGGGTTTTGTCTTTAAATTATAATAGGGAATTAACACATTTCAAAAATAGTTGGCATTATGCTTTTGAGTTAATTAACTAAATTTTTCACAATCGCTGCGAGGTTTTGTGGAAGTCTTTGTGGAATATTTGCAGAACATTTCAGTGTTAGTGTTTTAATTACTTACCTTAACAGAAAACACAATCTTAAGAACATCTGTTCTTTACAG